CCAGCCAGCATGGGAGTTGAAGTCCGCTCATCTTAAAGTGGCCAAGTTTGGACAACACTGACATAGATAGATGTTTTTAAATTAAAAATGTGCAAATATAGAATACTGTATATACTTACATCTAAGCCCATCCACAGATAAGCTGACCTTTGAATTTTTAACCAAAATATCATGAAAAATTTGCCACCCACGGATAAGCCGACCCAAATCTTTCATGGTATTTTGATTAAAAATTTGAGGGTCTGTTTATCCATGAGTATATATATAGGAATACAGATGCTTTGAAAAAGTATTATCGTATATACTCATGGATAAGCCCATCTGCAGATAAGCCAAACCCAATTTTGGGGGTGTATTTTGTCACCTATAATTCTTGGCTTACCCACAAGTATATATGGTAAATAAAACAAATCAATAGAAAGATGAGTATAATAATCGAAATGAACAAAGTGTAACACATTTTGGAATTAAATATTTAATGTTTAGGTAGGAATAATAAAATCAACATAGCTTAATTAACACAATTAACATAATTATTTTTCCAGAGGAAAAATCACAGAAAGTCAACCCTCTGTCCTTTCCTTAAAATGTTATCAATTTTTCATATTGCATGATTGCGATCAGGACCAGGAAATTGTACCATAATTTAGTTATGAAAGCACTACACACTAGTATTGTTATACAGTGAATGTTTGAATATATTACCAAGAGCTCTGGTAAATGTCACAGCTTCTTCCATACGGCACATTGCTTTCTTGGTATGGCTCAACTGTACTTTTCCTCAGGTACACAGATATCTTCAACCAAGAGACATATTTTCAAAACATTAACAGCAGTAAAGAAGATTTATTTGCCGTCAGGAGTTATTGTAATTTCTAATATTCTGGGTTGAAATAGTGAACATGCCTTTATGATTCTTTTAAAAAGGAAAGGTATTTTAATTTAAAGTAAGGATTGTTGTATGATAACTAATTCAAGTCACATCTCTTAGTCTCAACAGAGGAATCCTGTTTGGGATTTGATAGCTTAATATTTTTGTTCTGCTATCCAGTGCACGACTACGTGGCTTTTTCGTGGCACCAGAGACAAATAATTATACATTTTGGATTCAGGCAGATGGCAAAGCTTCGTTGTATCTAAGCCTGTCAGATGATCCAAGAAGAAAGGTATGACATACGACAAGTTCTGTTATCAAAAACCAACATGCTAGGAGAGTGACCTTGATTAACTGTCCATAGAATTCCACTGTTTATTGATTCAAAACAATTATTGCGTTGATAAAAGTAAGGCGATCCCTTTTAATTTTCTTTATATCCTCCTCTAAAATACTTTATAGTAGTTAAAGATGGTCAGATTAAGATTCAATCCACAGATAAAACAGCTTCTACTCTCTTTCCTCCCCACCTCTGCATTTTACACACATACTGAACGCTCCATCCATCCATCCATCCATCCATCCATCCATCCATCCATCCATCTTTCTGGAATTTGAACTTTGGCCAGACCTAAAGCCAAAGATTCGGTTGAAATGGAAAGATATATATTTACCCTCTGTGTTAATTAACCACGGGCCTTTCCAAACACAGCTACTTAAAATCATTTGGATCACTTCAGGAGATATGGAAGATAAATCTGAAACAAAAATCAAGCCGTTTACCTGAGCTCTAAAAAAATTCATAATTTATATGAAAGATGGGTAAAGTGGGAAAAAACCATGAGCTTAAAACTTTTGATAGGTTTTAATCTAAAGAGAACGGCAAAATTATTTTATGTCTGGAGACCAAGCTATATTTATTTCTCTTTATAGTATATCGCCATTTCTTAAGATGAGGCACCCTTTTATGGAATGGAAGTTTTGGCAGGCTTGGGTTCTCCCTGAATATAAATTGATTGCAATTATGTTACAAATACTATACGGGATGCAGAGCACATCTATTTTAAATGTTTGCAGTGATTTACATTCACTATCTCAATGATTGTCTAAAATAGACTGCTATCATTCCAATTCTCATTGCAGATTGGGAGTTGGGTATGGCCCAGGACTTAAGACAAAGGCAGCATCTCTAATTTACTCTAGAGGAATCTTGATTCAAGTGAGTTTTAAACCAGTGTTGACTCACATGGTACTTTAGTGCCTTGAGAGTGAGATTGTCAGGAACTAGCATTAATAGACAGATATTTATGTATCAATGGCTAGCTGCTGATTTGTACATGGGAGAAGGAGTAATCACTTCTCCAATGTATCTTTTCCCATTTTGTCCATACGTGCCTAATGGAATTCCACAACGCATATTTCAAAAGATCCAGCTTTATTACTATTTTAAGATGTTCCTTGGAGGGGAAATCACACCTTCAGTACAACAATCCTTTCTTTACCAAATTATGGCAAGTCTCTAGTTTTGTTGTGCTTTTTCATTAAAACAACTTCCTTGTTGTTAAGGAAATAAATGTTCTCAGTGGAGTAGGTTTACTTAGGTGATGCTCTTTCATTTCCAGCTGATTGTCTTGTAATTGTCCAAATGCCTTTTTCAGTCATCAGTCAAACTAATTTGTTGGTAAAGCAAATTCACTTTTATTCAGGATTGGTAGGGGTGAAGGTGGTCTCATCAAAGGTAAATTATAAGGTCTCTTGGATCTTTAAGGCAGGCTGGTATGTTATTTTCCTCTCACTTCTCCCTTGCCTTTCCAGGGGCCTGCAGGTGGTTATTCAGAGAAGAGCGAGGGATGTTCCTCTATATTAACGGCTTTTGCAAATAGGGGTGGCTGAATGCCTGCTCCGTTTTTTGGGTGTTATTGTTTGCTGGCTTGATTGGTTATCAAGGGAGGGGTCCTCTTGGGGCTCAGTCTTTGTGTTACCAGGAGTAGTGAAGCGGACAGAGTGTTTCTTTGTTGGCCTTTCTTCTGATGCTGGTTTTGGCATGGAAGGGTTGGCCATACTGTAGAAAACCTCCTCATCAGAATAACGTGTTTGTCTTTTGTCTTTTTTCCTAAGAGCAGAACTAGCAGGCTTGGCACATTTTTTGTTAGCTCTTTGCTTCTTCAACTTGGCTTTCAGAAAACCTGAGCGCGTACGGTTGTAATGTTTCTTCTTTCTTGGTCTTCCTACCTTCAAGGGCTTCTTATGATAGATGTTGCTCCTGTAGGAAGTCATTGTATGCTTGGCCTTTTGGGCCGAGAGCACATTGTCCCTCATTCTTTGGTCCAAATATCGGGACATGGGCATGCGCTTCTTTCGATAGCCACTCCTTGCAAATTTCATTATGTGTCTGGTTCGCCCCTTCCTACCTCGCCTAGAATTATGCTTCCTTCGTCTACTCAGGAACTTTCGGTATTTCCTCCGAGGCATCCTCCTCTTCCTCTGGAAGTAGGCCTTCCTACTTCTGTGGACAGCAGCCATAACTTTGCTGTTTTTTTACCCCTCCCGTTCAGCTTACCTGCCCCACTACAAATGATAGTGATCTCATTCTAGCTGTGCTCTTATATAGTGGGAGGCATTCAAATGAGGGATTGGCTCTAAGTGTTGTGATTGGCTGGGTAGAACAATAGATCAGGAAGTTACTTAATAATGCTTGACTGTGAGATACTTATATGAAATGATGAGAGTGAGTCTCATCATCTAGTTCAGTGTTGTAAGGGGGAAATATTCCAAATAATACATATTTGAACTGATAAAAGACTTCATTTGAATATTGGGATTCTAGCCATACTTGGAACTCAGATTTGCTGCAAAATATCAGGACCATTTTTGACCCAAAACAGAAAATGTTGATTGCTAGTTTGCTTAACATCCTATCAATTTTTCATTAATTCCATCTTTTTTTAAACTCTGAAATGCATAACTGAGTCTGTACAGACTACTTTCCATGCTTTGAGAAAGTATATGAAATAATCAGTTGCACTTTGCAGAATCTTTTAGGGCATGTGTAAATAAATGTGTAATGCATAACTATCATGGGGATCTTAAAGGAGCACTCAGTCCTATTTTTCTAGCACTCTTTTCCACCGTACCAACTACATGCCTTTGGGAAATCTACAGCCAGAACATAAGAACAAGAGAATCTTTCTATTTCCCCAATTGCTCTGCTTCTGGGGATGATCTCCAACACTACCACAAGTATTATTAGACAGAGCAAATCATTTCTTTCTATCCAGTTCCTCTATGTCTTACTTAGTTTTCCTAAATGAAATCCTAAATGATGTTTTCCTCCCTCCCTCCCTCCCTCTCTGTCTCTCTCTCTATGATCACTTGGGCTGCCTTCCTTATTCCACATGTCTTTTTAGCTCCATAACTCCCTGTTTAAGAATAAAATTCTGTTGTATTTCACTGATAGTTGCAACATATTTTTGTATAAAAGCATTACAATACTGGCAATTTTATTGTACATCATCTTCCTTATTTTTCTTAATGTTTCCTGGACTTTGTTTGTTTGTTAGTTCATGTATTTATGTTACAGTACTTATAACCTTCTCCAGTCTCAAAGAACTGAGGGTAGCATATATCATCATTATCAACAACAGCAACAATCTCCAGAAATAACAATAAATAAGTAAATCAGATCAATGTGAAAACCAACACATAATCACAAAAAGAAAAGATAAATTTCAAATAAAGCCCATGATAGATGTCACAGTTACCTGGAACCAAAAGGACATTGAAATAAAACAGTTTTATTCTGTTACTGGAATTGCAGTAAGATGGAGCTATCCCTAGTTCTTGGGGAAATATTCCATAAGCTAATACAGAGAAGGCTAGCCTACTCACTCATGCCCTGAAGCCCTCAAAAATGTCCTTTTTCACAATAAGTGCAATGTTTTCATTTAGTTATCCACCACAATGATTACTTACTTTGTCAGTTACCACTAGCTCAGACCATTAGCATACTGTATATACTGTATTTGCAAAGTTTAGCTTCTAACCCCCGTATCTATCACTGCAGACCTGCTTATATTGAAATGAATTTGCTATTTTAATATCCATCTCCCAATTTGGAAATGCAATTGTGAATTTTTTTCTGTTACTTTTTTGCTTTTATCACATAGGAATATCTACAGGGGAGTCAAAAAGAGTCAACTGGTGGTTGTATCTGCATGATTGAAACAACATCTCTGCCACCATCTTGACTTTTTGATTGTCTGTGCGTGCCCTTGCTACCACAATAATAGTTTGGTGTTATCAGCAAATGTGGCCAGTTCAGTGATGACCCGAACTCCATGTCACCGACAAATATATTAACAACCTTCACCCCAATATATATCCTTGAAAACCTCATTCTTCATACTCCTACATTGTAAGGACTGCCCATTTATTTTTATTGTTTGCTTTAGCCACTTGGGGGGAAGTTTCTTATTCTATGACTGCTGAGTCTTTTCAGAAGACCTGGTTTTTGAAAATCCAAGAAAATTGGATTTTAAGCATATCACCTCTATCCCGCAAGAGTAAGTGTGGCGTAACTTAGTATAGCAGAATTCATACTGATTCTTCTTCAGTAAGGCTTATCTTTCTATATACTGAGTGTTTTATCTTCAGTAACACTTTCTGGGAAATTTATCCAGATGTTAACTTACTGGCCTGTAATTTCCCTAGTTCTTTTTTTAAATTGTGCATTCCTTTCCTACAGAGGCTAATTTTACTGACTTATTACACATCTTTGATTAGAAAGTCAACAGTTCACCTTCAATTTGCCAAGATCTAGAACTTCTTAGCATCTCCCAACAATATTCAGACGCAAGTATTTTCTGTATAGCTTATATAGCAATGTCAGATAAAATAATAATCCATTCTATTGTTAGTTGGCAGCTTTCTATTTGCATGTAGTCATATGCATCTGCAGCAAAAGGAATTGTATCAAAGCAACATATGCATGGTAAAGTCATGACGCAAACCCTGCCCTTATGTACTTGTCTCCTGACATCTAGCACAATACATTAGTTGCACTTTTTGCATCATGATTTCATGGCACAAGTTTTGTCATTCCCCTTCCAACCCCCCCCCCCCAGTAGACACTAAGTATGTAGGATGTGCCTTGTATTTTCATTAAACTTTACCCAGATACTTTTTGTCAATCTTTCCATGTTTTTCTGGAAGGCAGTTCAGCTAAGAATAACAGTAAGAACCTTACAGGACTGCCAGAATAAAGACTGAGTTAATATTGATGTTCATGTGTACCTTCAAAGGACAGTTATTTGCTTCCTTCATTAATTAGGTTAAAATGAATTGCTTATCCAATTTCAAATCTCCACTTTGCCATAAACTCACAAGGGAAACTTTGAAATGCCAATCTTGAAAGTGTTATCTCATAAAGATCAAGAATACCACCCAAATAATTGGGCATAACGATTCATTTTGGTATGACAGACTAACTACTTTTAAGCATACTTACAAGAAATCAAGCAATGTTCTTGTGGTTTCAAAAAGCACTTTACTGGAAAAAGAATACATTGGTGATGTCAGTGTGGTATAAACATTTTTAAAAGGAAGAAATAATTAGTAACTTTCAAGTTGAACTCAAAGAGAAGCTAAAAGTGAATATTCTAAGTAATATTTAGTTAATTAGGTGACAGAACCTGGGTTTGATTTCTGGTTACTGTATGGACAAATGCTATCCATCTTGACCTTCCTTTAACAATACTCCTAGCTGTTCTAAGGACATTCCAGTAATCTCTTTGAACCTGTCCATTCACCTTATTTGTTGTCATCCCCTTATGTTTTCCTCAATATTGTCAAGCAAAATAATTTTTTCTAGTCCATCATCTGCTCACTTTACATGCCACAATTCATTATATTCATTATATGAATTTCTACTTGCTGATCATTGCCCTAAGAGTAGTCAGCTGTTATTTAATCCAGGATTGTTTATGCTATCCATAGTATCCATCTCCAGATTCTTAATTTGAAGGCATTACTCTCTGTTCCAGTCTTTTTCAGCTAATCCAGCTATATAATTACAACTGGAAAGATCATTGCTTAATTCTGATCTTTACTGTCACTAAATGTCCTTATCCTTCATGACTTAATCCACATTTGTCATCGCCTTTGTTCATAGATCAATTTATTATTTATTTTTCCAGCATGCTGACCATCTTTAGTTATTCCTGAATCCAAGAAAATCTTCACTTCTTTGGCATCAACTATAAATTTAGTAAGCATGCAGATTGTTTTGACCCCAGGACTGGCAGTGCTTATCTAGGTTAAGTTTGTGTTAAATCAGTCAGGCTTCCCTTAAACACATATATTCAATATAAGTTTGTATGAATGCAAACAGATTCACTCAGCAGACTGCATCCAAAGAAGCAGACAAAAGAGAGGAAAACTGAAGACCAGACAAATCATTGCAAGAGAAGTCTTTGTAGCTTGAAATTTGAAGGCAGGGTCTTTCATGGACTAATGTTGTTTCAGTGACTTTGAGCCCAAGTAATTCCTGGAATAGCAATAGCCTCTGACTCTGTCCTGGCACAGCTGGCTTTGGTCAGATCTAGCATCCTTCATCAGATTACTCTTTTGGTATAGCCAAATGCTCCTTTGTTTCTCCAAGGCAAGAATGGTGGATCTTGTTGTTCACTTAGCATCATTGCTGGGTCTTAGCTGCATAGGGTCTTTTCTTTCAGAAGCTTCTTCCTGGCCATGACATCATTCCCTTCCCAAAATTGAGGAAAAACCAGTTTGCTTGGGCCAGTGTTGGTGAAATTTGACCACCAATTTCATGGCACGGTCTATAATTCCATGGCAGGGCCATCCACCAGTAAATACCCTATCCAATCTCTCAGGCATTCTAACCTACCCTGGCATTAGTGGGAAATCAAGATGTGAGCATTTTTGTATTCCTCCTATCTACCTGCAAGGGATGTGATTGTACTGTAGCCGTATGAGCAAAGTGATGAAGAGGGTCAAGGACCAACACAGACTGATGGGATATTAAGTGCATAATAAAAGAAGAAGCTGTAACATGTAAGCCATCAGGTTGATATCATCAGGTCTGGGATCCTGCTGTGGTCCTTTAGAAGCAGTGCTTGATAGGTAACTAGAACAGATCATTCTTTCACATTCTTTCCCTCTTGCCATTTGTGTCAGCCAAGGATTTATAGGTTTCCTTGACCTGTTAAGTTGCTCTTTCACTCTTTCAGTAGAGTGAAACTTTTCTCAGTCTGGAAGCTTATGTCTGTCTGTCTGTCTGTCTGTCTGTCTGTCTGTCTGTCTTATTAGATTGGTATTTTTGTTTATTCATGATAAATATGGCTCATGCCTGTTTTCTGTTCTCTAAGCTGTTACAGAAAAGTTGAATGGTGGAGGTGTGATGAGAAGTAATTCCAGGCATGCAAGGAATATTGCAATTTCAATTAGAAGATTTTCTAAACTGTTCGTTAAAGAAGAAATACTAGATGAAAAATGTCCCTTTTAATTTTTATGTCCCAATTTGAATACACCTTCTTGTCTTCTGCACATTGAAGCTGGTTTTATATAAACTATTTCCTGGTATCTCATTGTTCATTATGAAAGATATGTGAAATAGGTGTTATAATAACTTCAGACTTATGGCTTTAATTGATTACAATTTAAACCCATATTCTAAATGATCTCTGAATACATCTCTGTTGAATATATGAACAACAGATTTATGAAGATAATGCAAAAGCTTTTATTTGCAGTCATAAAAAAAGCTATCAGTTAACATCAGTTTCCTTAAAGCAGAAAGTTAAAGAATTATTAATCTTTTATATCCCATTCATTTCCAGAACAATATAGAACCCTTGTTTATTCTAAACATGGACTTAGCTTTCATTACATTGTAACAAGCAACAATACTGGGAAAGGAGAGAGAAATCCAGTAATAATGGTTTTGAGACTTTAACAAATTAAACATTATTTCTTCTGCTGGTGGGAGAGTATATACAGAGTCTAATCCACTAATCAACAGATTTTAAAAATTCTATTCTAAATTGTACAGTTCCAATTTCTCAATGGATGATAAGACAGAGACTTTTCTACAGAATAGGTAACTTGCACAGCTACTGCAGGTTCAGATTGGTAAGCACCTCTTGCTCTTCAATAAATGATGGCTATAGCTAAATCATCAAACAGTTTGGATTTTTCTTAGGTTTCTTTTCAGGACACAGGACAGATCTATTATCTTGCTGTTTTAGGCCTCAGAATCATTACATTTTTTGTACTAATTCAATGAAATAATAATCCCCCGTATTCTCATACCAACTATTTTTCTTTCATGTAATTGTCCCCCACCAAGAATTTCTGCAGATTAATTTGACTTGTGAGTGAATTGAGTCATTTGATGTTCAGAGCTAACCCTTGTGATTCTTACTTATCACTGTTTGTTTGCTGGTGCTTAACTCTCTGTTTCTCTGGCTACAACAATCACTTGTTTCTTGGCCCATTTGATTTATTCAATTTAAGAATGCTTCTTGAGGAGAATGTTGGGTTCTAAATGCACCACCAGCTCTTTTTGGTGCCTCTTATGAATGCTGGTAGAAAAACACCCCGTGTGGAGCTTCTGACTTTGAAACCAATGTCTGTGGTAGTCAACCAGGAAATGTAGAAATGTTGATATTGCTACTTCAGATATGAAGTAAATAGTAGCTACTGGCCAGTTTCAATTCTATTTGAATCCATTTAATACAGAGTCTCTAATCATGAATTAACCTTGTAACGGTCACCAGGGCCTATAATTTGAAAAAGTCATTTTATTTTCCCTTGCTTTTTGAATCAAATATTCTAGATTGTGCCCACCCTTAATTTCATGTGTTTGGTCTTATTCAAACTGGGTCTAAACCCTGAGAACCTAGAGAATAGCTGCTATGTGAGATTTTTGCTTTTAAAAAGAAGTTTCTGTGACTAGTTTAGAAGAGAAGATTTGCATTTGCCTTTCTTTGTAAACAGTAATTATATTAGTTCTTTTTCTTTGGCTTTTCATCTCTAACTCTTTTCCATTTTGCGCCCATTTTCACTTGCATCTGAATTTATTGAGTTAAAGAGACCCTCATTCTGAATCGGCCTACTCTATGGCCTCTTCAGTTTGGAAAGCTCTGATGAATAAATAGCATTGATAAAAGGTAGCCAAATACATACATTTCTACTCTGACTCTTTTACTGCTTTCATTTTTTGGGCAACAGGTGGAAGTTGTATCAATTCCTACTGGCACTTCTGATTGGTCAGCCCTTTGGGAGGAAGATTGGGCCTATCCTAGGAAGCCCAAATCAGAGAAATATGAGCTTACTGGTGGTACAATGTACTATTTGGAAGCCGTGTATGATGGGAGATCCCCAAACAATGGAATTAGGGTGGGAGTTCAGATGCATAATACCTGGCTGAACCCAGATGTGGTCAGTACTTATCGCAGAGAAAGCTACAAAATACAAGTCAGTGCTGTCCAGCTTCCAGAGATACAGGTAAATTCTAGAACATAATCTGAGTTTGACATTTTTGAGTGCTTCTTCCGCACAGCTTTCTCTATAACAGTTGTCAACTGAATTGATGGGAAAAACTAACTAATGTCGTTTCTTGAATTCTGTTTGCTAGTTGCACTTCTTGATTTGTGAGTCAAGTTGCCTTTTATCCCTCAAGATAAATTTATGGCCCCAATTACTCAGTGGATTGAAGTCCTGCTGTTTCAATGAGTTGCATACAGTCTAGATCATGTATGGATGATTACAATGAAAAATGATGTGTGTGTGTATAAAACAACAGTTTCTATATACCATATCTCACAATAGATCTAAATATCTATATCTATTCCATATATCATATCTCACAACAATCTAGATATCATATACAGTATACAGTATGTAAGAAGCCCTTACAGATATATTTTTGTCATTGTTGTATTACTTCCTTTTTTCCTTTTCTGTTTTATAAAAATGTTTTTTTTAAAAAAAAGTCAGGATCCTTTATTATAATTATAATAGTAATAGGTTTTAATTGATATTATAATTAAAATAGGATCAAGTTTTCACAAATAGCAATAGAGAGGCTTGTATTATCTTGGCATGTTAGTGTATTCGTAAACTCTAGACTATTAAAGTTTCTACCTAATGTGTAGAATGTGTTTGTTTTTAAGGTGCCACCAGACTATCTTTTTCTGCTTGACTGTATCCTGTTGGTCAATCTGGCCCTGCTCAGATTTCTTCACCCTCTAACAAATTCACCATCTGCTGGGCATTGGATCATTCTTAAAAGTTGGGAAATAGATTGATCCAAAAGGCTGTTCCCTTTTATCCCTGTGAAAGGATGCAAGACAGCCTGACTTATGATTACCTGATCACACCAACTAATGGTTTTATAGATGCTTTGATATTGGAATCATTAGGAAATAGTGAACAACAATTTCAGTGACTCTCAAACACTTCATAGGATGACTTCATCAGTTCCTTAACCCTCCCCTCCTTAAAACTATTTGCAGAAATTTAACTGCTTGCAAAATGATTCTGAATGTATAATGATTCCTTAATTGGGTGCAAACCATATATTAAACTGGGACTCAAGATTATCAAATTCAAAACTCTTTTTACTACATATTACATTCACTATGTGGTTAAGGAGAGCACAAAGAATCCCAAGTTGCTAAAAAGTACTGTTTTTATTTTTTTTCTTAATTCAGGAGAAATAAATATTCTTCGTAAGCTACTCTTAATCTTTCTGCTTTATAGATGCTGATACTGTCTGGCAGAGGATGGTTCAGTCTTGCCTGGGACAACGTGACCAGCAATCTCATGTCAACAAATGTTACTGCTGAACAAGTATAGAATTCTTCTGGATATAAAATAACGAGAAATAATTATGATATGTAGAATTTGGGGGGTAGTGTTGATTGGTACAACAGGAGGTTCAACATTTAAAATTGTTGTATAGGAACTTTATAAGTAGAGGTCACACATTAGGAAAAGTTAAGAAAATATCCCAACATAAAAGTTGATTAGAGTGACAAATGTGTGTGAAATCTGTAATGACATTTTGTAGCTGAGTTAAGGTACCACAGAAGCGTGATATTTAAGGAGTAAGGAACTCCTTGAGAAATGGATTTGAAATGTCATTTATTCAAATATTTAAGTCAGAGGAGGAATGATAATACAAGCTAAATTACTAAATCCTCTCAATCATTGTAAAAGATTTCAAAAATGTTAATTGTATTAAAAACTGTGTGTGTGTGTGTGTGTGTGTGTGTATAATCTGCTTCTGGTACCAGAATAATTTCTCTTATTTTTGGTACAATGCATCTAGACTTATAGTGGGGGAAAGATCTGTTGTTTTGCTTTAGACAGTCACATGTCTCAAATTTGGGTCCTGGTTGATTTTGGAAGTCTGCACTTTTCTACAAAACTCAAATAATTTTCTTTTTCAGATGCAGAAAGAACTGGAAGAACTTCTTTCGGTAAAATGTGAAATAGAGCCATCATCTGCTAATATTTTTTTGCAAGCAAGATTTGAGCAAAGTAAGCTTGTCCTTTTCGGTTTGAAAGGCTGTTTATTTCAACAGAAAAAATTAGCTACTATAGAAGAGAGACATCTGCAAACCTTCTCCAAAAACTACACACATGTGCGCGCGCACACACACACACACACACACAATATTGGTCAGTATGTGGAGTCAAGAAGGAATACATTTTTTTTCTCCCTAGCGTTTTTCCTGCATGTGCAGAGTCTGCTTTTTTCGAATCAACTGAATGTTGATCCATTGGTTGCAACAGGAATTGACTGGTCAGCTGAGCCTGACATCATGGGCTGAGAGAGAGGGACTGGCCCAAAGTCACCCAGCCGGCTTTCATGCTTAAGGCAGGACCAGAACTCATGATCTCCTGGTTTCTAGCCTGGAGCCTTAACCACTAGACCAAACTGGCTTTCTTCAAGAAAGAATACATTGTTGAGTGTAAAAGTATTTTATTTGTTTATTTCATTTATTTAAAAATGAATAAAATGTGCCATACCTTTGAGGGTAGCTTACAAAATAGATCTGTAAATATTGGCCACATAAAGCCATAACTAGAGTAGATATGTGCAATGTGGCTACTTAGCTTAGTTTGCTTCTTGCACAATGTCTCTTCTCTCCCCCTTTTTCTTGTGGTCTTGAATGTTGCAAAACCAGTGCATGGCTTCCTATTTATCACCTATATATGCATCCCTACATTTGGGTTGTGTAATGTGTACTCAGGTGTTCTTTAATATACTTATGTTCTTTGATTTCAACATTATGCTGACACAACCATTGTGTGAATGGCTGCAAGGTTTGAGTAAGAATAGAGCAGCTTGGAAAGTCCATGCTCATGGTCCTCTTGACATGGGTAGTACTCTAATTTGTGTGCTTAACTGAGCCTTCTTTGACTAAATTTGATATGTGCAAGTCTTTACATGGTACAATTGAATTTCTGCATTAACACTCTTTTTCAGGTTTGACACTGCAATTCATGGCCCTGTGCTATGAAAGGTATTCTTGCACTCAGCTTTGTCTAGGATTTGCGTTGCATAAAAGAAGTTTTCCTTACTTTTCCCCATTTTCAGTAGATACTGAGAATCTAGTCAATGGTGGAGCCATTGTCAGTTGGACAGAACCCTTTTGTGGAAGATTCAGCACGTTCAGGCCAAAAAGTCTTATCAAAACATCTCAATTAATCCCTCCTTATGATGTCACTAAATACACACATGTGAGTAATGTTTTTCCAAGAAGTTTGAAACAGTAAAAGGACTAAATATTGAACAGCATGATGACATTAGTGATGGGCACAATCTATACCAGGAAATCTGTTTTGGCATCAAGGCTAACTGACTCTGTGAAAGCATTGTGGAAGTCACATCCCAGCATAAGGTGGGTAAGGGTAATATAAGTGGTTCACCACTGTCTTCTGAATGTTTTTTCCCATCCTTTCAGTATAGCCTATGGCCCTGGGAACTCCAGGTAGCCTCACATCCAAGTACTACCCAGGCCAGACCCTGCTAAACATTTTGTTATGGTTGGCTAGGTGCTGCAGCCTAGAATTGTTAATACTTTTTAAAGAATGGTTCCATCTAAGATATTTTAAATCGATTTTTATGTACGAAATTGTTGCAGTAGGTTAAAAAGGAGTTAGGATAAGATCTGCAGAAAGGTGGGTTTTACTTAGCACCTGTTTTCTAGTAGTCTGAAGAGAAGGGAACTGTTGAAAGTATCTGGACTTGGAAAAAGGCACCGTCTTCTCCATGCTGCGCAGCTATTTGAAATGTGCAACATGATTGTTAATTTTATTGTATTGCTCACAATACAGGAGTTAGATTCACGCAGCAAATGTAGTGGGCAAAGTTAGGGATCAGTGTGTTACATGTATCTGGTAATTTTGTCAGAAGAGTGGCAATTTAACCCTAAACTCAGTTTATCAGGGCAAAACACAAGAAGCAAGGCAGAGGTGCAGAGCAGCTGAAAATGCATATTGTGCCATAAGAAACTCACTACCAAGCATGGCAGTACAGGACTTACCTTCCAAACAGGAATACGTTGTATTGTCCAAGCCATGCTCACATCAGTCTGTGAGGCCTATGGGGAAGGACCAGGTGATGTAAGAAAGCCCCACCAGTGCTGTCTTGATGCAAGACTAATGGGATACCAGGGAGATCTGGAAGAATTGAGCAAGGACCCTCCATTACCCCAAGTGGCAATTCTTGTTTATTATGACTTAAATGAATGGATGACTAAGGGAAGAATGTTGTTCAAAAGAAATCTGAGTATGGGAAATGTGTTGTTGTATTACTGGCAGCCATATTGGAGACAGGTAAACAAAACATTTAGTGAGGAATTTTGAGTTTTATTCTCTCCCTCCTTCACAGCTGTGCTTTGCATATAAAGGTTACCTGAACAACACCCTCTACATTGCAGTGTCTTATTACAATACCTTTCTAAATACTGTGAAAAAGCATTTGACTTGCCAATGGAATCCGAAATCCAGCCCAGAAAGGTATAAGCCTACAAACATTCATTCTATATATTTTTCATGACTGCCCCCTTCCTTTTTAATGTAATTAGCAGCGATATGTATACTTATGACATACAGGCAATAGGACGGGTTCTTAACCAATGGAAATTAAAACCACTTCTTTTGATGCTTTTGACCTCCAGGTGTTGCTGAGGTACAGCTCCAAGTATCCTTCCCCATTTGGCTATGCTGGCTCAGGCAGCTGGGAATTACATTTCAACAATATCTAGAAAACTGCTCTTATATTCAAGAACCAAGACCTAACCATAAGCCACTGGTTTCATTCCACTGGTTATATGACTTTGATTTGGCACAGTCGTGGTTTAGGGCAGGGGGCTTCAAACTTTTTTAGGGCATCAAACCTGTTAGTTGGAAGGAAGGAAGGAAGGAAGGAAGGAAGGAAGGAAGGAAGGAAGGAAGGAAGGAAGGAAGGAAGGAATTCCAGGATCCTTGATCAAGAGACAAAGCTCTAATGACTGAGAATTGGCTGCGTTTGAGTGATCTTTGGTCTGTTTGCTTGTTTGTCCTTAGTCTCTCATGGAACCCATCAAGTTCTTATGGAAACCTGTGATTCCACAGAACACAGTTTGAAAATCCTGGTTTAGGGAATTTAGAGGAATATTGCTAGGCAATATGAACAGGAAGGTGGATTCAGTATCAAAGTCAAGTGTATACTACTTTTAAGGTTTCGCCCATAGTGAAAACTGAACATCAGAATAGATTCTAGCCCTTCAAGAATCAAATATGCAGAACTGCTAAGTGAAATGGCTACTTGCTTTTTCTGAGTACCATGAAAAGTGTGATTCTGATATTTCTAAACATCTGCAATATTTTGGGGGGCACGTAGACAATGTATATTCATTTCTGCTTTCCTGCAGCTATAAGAAGAGTCCTGTCATTAAACAGCTCATCCATGGTAGATTTCTTTCCAAAAATATATTTCTCTTTCAGCTGGAAATTCATATGTACCAACCTTTGGAAAGACTGTCTGAGTAGTTCTGAATTCCTTACTGATCTTCCAAAAAACTCTTCAGTGTTTTTGCACCAGATTGATGTAGAAGCTCCTGCTACTGGGACAGAGACACCTGGCTGGTTTTTCATTGATGAGATCATTGTTTCAGATCAAGATGTAGTTGGTAATCTAATGTTTTGCTTTTCTTCTTGATGCTGCTGATAAATAAAAGAGTGAAATATGAATGGCTTTGAAGGGACAAGAGAAAGGTTTTTTTTTTTTTAATCAAGAAATAAATGTTTGAGAGAATACAGTTATTGATAATAGTTGGACATTTGTGAAACATTTCAGCTGTAGATCCTGGATCTAATTACTGTGAAGGCCGATGCTGGTAAGGTGGGAATGAAACAAAGAGCTGGAACAAGCAAAGCTGGTACATACGTAAACCCCATACAGATATCATCAACATCCCAGGCTGAGAGATAGGCTGCAGGACGTCCATTATGAGGAAGAGGCAGGAGAAAGAAACCGAGGATTTAAACTCAGGGCTACACACATATACATAGGTAGATTCTGCAGGATCTGTTCTTTGTTGTTCCTAGGGCTAGTTCATTTTGACAGTAAAAGCTACTTGCTGATCTGTGCCTTAACTTCTTTGTGAACATTTTGTACAGAGCAGGTTGGAATTTACTGCAGTGGTAGGGAGATGTTTTGATATAAATTACAATGCAAATGCACTTGTTTTAAGAATCTGTGTGCATATTGAGTTTGGCAAGTGATAAGTCATGCCTTTTATAGTAGTATTCTCCCAAACTGTGTGGTTTTTTTTTTTTTTTTAGTTTTTCAAAAGGAACCCAGGTCAGCTCACCCACATGGGAACCTCATAGAATCCATCTCAGTTGCTGGCATCCCACCTGTATTTAATGTATCCTTTTTTGTAGCAGACTATCACACGAACTTCCCTCTTCTCTCACTCAGGTAGGAATAAAGCTTCATACATATTCATGCCCCCCTACCCACCTTCCCTTCCCTTCCCTTCCTTCCTTCCTTCCTTCCTTCCTTCCTTCCTTCCTTCCTTCCTATCC